AGGGTGTTTTTGTCTTTGAAATCTGCATTGTTATTTGTCATAGTTTTGTTTGGGTTTTTTATTTAATTTTATTGAAAACATTGTACACAGCATTGTGTACAGTGTGGCTGTTTGCGTGTACATAGGGAGTGGCGGAATAGAGCTTTAATGCGTGCTTGTTTGGCGTTCCTTGCTAAGTCTAGAGTTATGTGTTATTTTAAAAATACAAGTAATTCGGTTGTTTAAATTTCTCAACATAGAACTGAATTGCAGAATACAGAATACAGTGCTTAATAAAGTGTATTTGGTAGATTCTGTTTTTGGTCAGTGAACCTTTTATGTGTCTTACCATGTCAGGTAAGCAAGTGTGTCTTGCTCTAAGCCTTGGTGAGGCTTGAACAAATTGAGAACCTTCTCCTTTGTCCGGATTCTTATGCATGTGTGATACAGAAAAATGTTGGGCTGCTTGGAGTGTGCGGCTTCACTTTAACAGATTATTGCAGAATTGGTCTTTATTTGTGATTAGTGTGTGGTTATATTACTTCCAAAATGTGTCATTAACCTAAAAGAACACAAAACCAAGCAAACTTTCCTCTTTACCAAAATAAGGCCTTTTTGAGTTAAAAAACTTTTTTTTTTTTTTTTTGAGTTTGCGAATTAAATGTCTATAAACCAGGCATGATGGTGCATGCCTGTAATAGCAGCTGCCTGAGAGCAAGAAGCAGGAAGATTGCAAGGCAGTGAGACCTGGTCTCAAAATGAAATAGAATGGAACAGAATAGAATAAAATAAAAAAAAATTTTACAGGGCTGAGATTGTATCTCATGGTAGATTACTTATGTAAAATTCATGAGGCCCTAGGTTCTGTCTGTAGCACTAAAAAAATCAAGAAGGAAGATTAAATTTGTTCCTGTAGTGAAACACGTACATGTGAATTTATCTTTAAGAAAAGGTGATTAAAACAAGATATTTGAATTTGATAGGACTTTGCAGTTGCTTTAATAACATGCCAAGAGCAAAATTGAAATCTTCCTTTGGTACTTTTATACACTCATTGTAGACCCCAGTATAATGAAGTAGTGTTTAAAATGTAACTTTAAATGTAACTGATTGAGTTACCTGATGATTAAGAATATGAAAAAAAAAAACCTAGCTTCATTAAAGTTGAATTTAGGTTCTAAAATGGTTGTGGGAATATTCATCTATGAAGGTCAGGTTACTTACTTCTTTTTGTTTTTGTTTTTGTTTTGTTTTCAGAGAGGATTTCACTATTACAGTCCAGGCTGGCCTGAGCTCGCCATGCTCCTGCCTCCATCTCTTGAGTTGCTGGCGTGAGAGGTGGGCACCGCCCTGCCTGGCTCACTTTTATTTAGTTAGTAGGACCTTTTTTCACACAGCTTTCTTAGGCACAGCTTTCCCGGTATTGCAGAAGCCGAAGCTCAGAGAAGTGGGGTGCTTTATTCTTGTGTCCCCACAGGAAGTCCCGGGCGACTCCAGCCTTTGGACCTAGCGCTGGCTCTGTCAGCGCACGAGTCTAGTCCCCATCTGCATCCTCTCCCGCAGTATTTATCGCGCGTGGGTGGGAAGAGCCCTTGGCCAGTGCTTCTCAACTCCGGGGCAGAGTTTTGTGTGAGTTTTGTGACCCAGCGACCCTGTGGGGACGTGGAGAGGTGGGGACAGGAGTAGGGACGGTTCTGAGCCACATGGGGGGCACTTCGGGCCTGGGCTCCAACTCTATTTCCTGTGTAGCCCACGACTGAGGGACCCCAGGGAGGTGTTTCTGTGGATGCCGCTGGAGAGCTCTGCAGTTTTGGAGTGTGACGGGGCTTCTGCTGGGCGGCCGTGTTCTGATAGCACCGCCTTGTTTGTGAATTAATATGAAGTGTGAGCCGTTCTACTTCTAGATTGTTTTTATCTTCCCCCCCCCGCCATAACTATATTAGCTTCAATTGCCAATTCAGCAATAACACTGTAAAGTAACAAAGGGTACAATGACACCCATTTCAGAGTCATTCTTTTTGGATGAAAATTTCCTAAGTGGTATGAGCAGCACATCTGCTGTAATTTAGGTGTGTATAAATGTGTTTTCCTAGTGTCTTTCTCTTTGCATTCTCCAGGCACTGGATTTATTCAGATTTTTAAATTATAGGATATTTATGTTTTCTTAACTAATAAAATGTTCTGTGCTAGCTGTATGAAATACTAATATGTAACTAAATATTACTGTCACACAACTGAGTACTCACTGCATGAAGATTTTATGGTCTCATGACACAGAAGTCTTATCTTTACTGTTAAAGTCCATCTGAAGCCAGCGTCTGTCTCAGAACTGTGGACTTGGATCCAGTTACAGTCTTACTGTTTGTGAGTTCTTCAGAGTACTTGCTTGGTGTTATCACAGCCTTCCATTCTGTGCTTCATGGAGTACGCACTCGAGCTGTCTGTGGTAACACTTCCCTCGCCAGTGTGCTGGTGTCCGGCTCACCATTTGGGCCTTCCCTGCCTGTTCCCGGGCAGACACTGCCCAAGGTCTGCTGCTGTCTCCTGGGGACCTGCCACGGGCTCTTAGTCACTGGGATGTGGAGTATGATACAAAGGATACAGTGGACCCTTGACATACAGACTCCATCGGTTCTCAAGGGCTGCTTGCAGCTCCAGTTGGTTGTAAGCTGAGATCTGCGTGTTTACCTGGGCACATGCTGTAGATAACGAGGCAACAAATCTTCATTAACCTAGCTAACCCAAGTTGTTTGTACGTCAGGCCAGTTATAACTTTTGGGTCCACTGTATTCAAAAGTTGACTTTAGTATATCTTTAAATATAGAAATAGGAGTGTGTTTTGGTAATTGGTTGGCCTAAAATGAATTGTTTGGCTTTACATTTGCCTGATTTAGAAGAATCAATTCAAAAAATAGCTTGCCTAGCTGTGGATTAAAATGTGCCCCTGTCGGGCTGGGGATTTAGCTTAGTGGTGCTGTCTCCTGCCTCTCAAGTGTGAGGTCCTGAGTTCAATCCATGGTACTGGGGGTTTAAAAAAAAAATGTCCCTGTCGTAGACATTTTGTGTGTGTTAGCTTAGTTAATACTCACAGTTTCTTAGTGATTCTGCTGTTACCTGCATTTCACAAAGGAGGAGACTGAGGTACAGAGTGGCTGCGGGTCTTACCAGGTACCGTGGCTCTAAGTGGTAGAGCCAGAAATTCGCCCAGAGCTGTGTGGCTCAGGGCACCCACCTTGGCCAGAATGTGTGAACAAGGAAAGCCGCCCTCAGACTCCCCTGCTGTCTGTGGCTGGGCATTGCCGCAGCCTGAACCCGGTACCAGCTCTTGCCGTGTTGACAAGGGCTGCCCTCCCCTCCCCAAGCCGAGCCCATCGCATTAGACCGTGCTGCGAGTGTCCTCTGGTCACTCGGTGTGGTGTTCAGAAGCATAGTCCCCAGGCAGGGGTCTTATCTGTGTTTCATCCAGGGCTAGAGGCACAGCGCGGGATCTGAGCCGGGTGCTGTTCCTCACTGGGGGCTGCCGGGTCCCAGGGCAGCGGTAGCGCTTGTGCACTGTCACCTGAACAGAGATTCCAGATGTCCAAGCCCAGTGTAGGACGGCCGCGCTTCTGCGCATATGGTTTTGGAGTCGTCTGAAAGCAGTGAGGGAGCTCTGCAGGAGCTTTTCTTTCTTTGTAAAATTTTTTTGAGATCCAGTCTTGCTGGCCTTGAATTTGTTGTCTTCCTGCCTCAGCCTCTCGAGTGCTGTGCCGCCACACCCCGGCCCCCTTGTTTTTGAGTAGAGTTCTGTGATAAAAGCTGTCTTGGGAAGGTGTCTCTCAGGGTGGACCCTGTAATTAGAGAGGAGAGTGGGGACCCTTGTACCATCCAGCCCAAGGGAGGCGCCAGATGGGAGTAACAGTGTCAAGCGCGGACAGCGGCAGGCTTCAGGGCGGGACTGATGGAGTGGGAGGGTTGGATCGGGCAGGTTGGAGAGGGGTGGTGATTAGGTTCCAAGGTTAGGAACCATGCCGGGGTAGAAGATGGAGCCACAGGTGTAGGAGATCGCAAGGCTTTCATTTCATCTTTTTATATTTTTTACCTTTCATTCTGCGGTGGAACCCAGAGCCTTGTGCGAGCCCGGCCAGTGCCGAACTGTGGAGCCGCACCCCAGTGCCTTGGCCTTCAGAGGTGTGTGTGCTTGGTCAGGCGATGTTACTTGTGTCGCGTTTAAGGCCCCGAAGGTGACGGAGACGCTGCTGCATGGAGGAAAGGGTGGGAAGTGGCATGAGCGCTTCCTCGTGTAAAACTGCTTCGGTTTCCACGCTGCGATTGTCACACGCCTCCCTGGGCAGCTGGTCCAGGGGAGGAGATGCAACTCCCATGCCTGCTAGGAATCTGAAACACGCGTCCGTGTCCTCTAAGATCAAAGAATGAATTCTAGGAACAACAGAGGTTAAGAGTAGGAAGAATTTATTGAGAGGAAGACAGCTTCTGTCCCCCACCCCGCTTCTCAAGGGTGTTTATGGGGCAAAGCCACGGGGTGAGGCGGGTTCAGTGTGGGACAGAGCTGTAGTCAGCTAGTGAGATTGCAGGTACAGTTGCTTAGGTGACACTGATCCGTGAGAAGTCACAGTGTGAGCAAAACTGTGATGACCCAGTAAGATTGCAAGTGGTAGAGGGGCTTGGGTGATGCTGATTAAATGGGGACTTCTGGGGAGGAAAGACCTTCCCTTGGTCTCCACCCAGGGACCCAGGGATTGATACCAGCCTGTTTGGAACATTAATCACTGCTATTCATCCTCGGGGGAGTGGTGTGGCGGGTGTAGTGGTGTCTTACAGTCCTGGCCTTTGGCGACTGGGTTTTTTTTTTGTACCGGGGATCGACCTCGTGATCTTGCTCTTGTGTGGCAGGCAGCGGCACCCCTGAGCCAAATCCCCGGCCCTAGCGACTGTCTCAGCTGCTCTCCATGTTGGCTCCTTGAGGGCCGCCCGTCTGACTGCCCACACTCTGTCTGATTAACTTGCCTGTCCCAATACAGCCAGACCGTGGAGCACGTCGCCAAGCTGGTGGAGCAGCACGGCAGCGACGTGTGGTGGACGCTGCCCCCGGAGCAGCTGCTCCCGAAGGAGGTCCTGTCGCAGGTGCGTGGCTGCAGGCGTGTGACCGGCTGTGAGCCTCCACACAGCCGAGGCCAGTGGGAAGGGTCTGCTGTCACGTAAGCTGATGACTTTGTTCCCTGAATTAGACGCTCAGGCAGCGTGAGAGGGGACATTTTGCTTAACAGTGGACGCGTGTTACAGCAGTGTGACCGTTGTTTGTTGTCTCCCTGGGGCCGGGTGGACCTAACTGGCTTGTGACAGAGTGCAGTCAGATCTCTGGGACGTGTGTGGAGTGACCTTGGGGACCCAGACCAGGCGCCGGCATTGAGGATGCTCAGCCCCCCAGCATTGGTAGCCTGTGACAGGGCATGGGCCCAGCTCGTGTTCCTGGGCCGCTGCGCTGATCTGGAAACGCTCAAAAGCACTGCGAATTGTATTTGGAAGAGCAGGTTTGCTTTCTTCGGACATCGGGCGTGCTGTCGCGTGTGCGGCGGGCTGGAGCGGAGCGCTTGTCTGTCTCCTAGGTCAGCGGTCCCGACGGCTTGGAGTACCTGCCCGGCCAGGACATCCTGGACATCTGGTTCGACAGTGGGACCTCGTGGTCTTGTGTTATTCCAGGTGACTCCTAAGGTTGATCCTGTGCAGAAAACAGAGTGGTACTTAGAAGAGGTCTGTAAGCAAAAAGAGAGTTTTTCCTGCTTTATTTGGAAGAGGTTCTCCCGCTAGAATTTAGGGTAAGGAAGGACCAAGTGAGGTAACTCAGTGATTTCCAAGCTTTGTTTTGTCTTTCGAGGTGAAATTTTACGTGGAGCCACAATATGTAAGATAGACAAAAGCTGGAGTTCTCTCCCCTCAGCTGTCTCCTTTGGCTCGCTTGACAGCTCCAGTGCACCCAGTTTTGTAGAAGTCTGGGAGGCACTGGAAGAATCTGCCCATCATTTTGCAGAGGGGAGGAGTTGGGTTGTAGCCCTGCGGACGGATCGGGAGGTGGGAAGGCAGGAAGGCCCAGCCTGGCCTCAGGAGTGGGGACTAGGAGCGGGGTGTCACGGCCCCTGCGGCTGCCCTGCACGCCCTAACCCTGCCTCCCGTCCTGCCGTGCGCTTCGGAGTGGGGGGCCCTCGCCTGCATTTGGCCCTTGCTTCTACCCGGGAGGAACAGAGGAACAGAGCGCGTAAATCCGCGCGGGGCAGCAGCCAGGCCATGTCCTCTGTGAAGCCCCGCCTTTGTCTCTGGCCTACTTTCTGTGGTGCCCGCTCCACCCCAGCCGCACCCTTGTCCTGACGGTGTCCTGACACTTTTCTCAGAGCCTGGCTGTCCTCGTCTCCCTCGCCTACTGCGCTGCTGCGGTGAGGGGCGCACCCCGTCCCGCCGGCCCTGGTGCCAGGCTTCACAGCCGCGGGCAGGTGCAGAGTGCAGGTCCGAGTATCTGTTGCATTGCAAAAGCAAAGTCCACAAACCCCAAGAAACTGAAAGATGAAACTATCTGAAGGGGAATGGCGTCTTGTAGGTGATAAGGCGAGGCCATGAGCAGTGTGTTTAATAAAACCAGCTTTACAGTGTTTCTCACATGGCCGCCCCCACCGTCAGTGTGCTCGTTACCTGCCCTGCCCTGCCCCAGCCCAGACCCCGTTCATAGTAGGGCAGGGCAGGGCAGGGCAACCTCTCGAGACTGCGGGACCCCACAGCTCCTGGAGGCCCCATCCTTTCAGGGTGCCCTAGTTTTGCTCAGTCAACATCACATGGTGACTTGATCCTCCTGCCTCAGCCTCCCAGAGTGCTGGGATTGTAGGCGTGTGCCACAGGTTTGGCTCATACAGTTTTTTTAGCTTGTCCATCTTTTGACTGAGTCATTGTGAAATTAGAGGTTGATTGTTGATCTTTATGATTTTTTTTTTTTTTGAAACAGGGTTTCACTATGTAGTTGAGCTGACCTGGAACTCACTATGTAGCCCAGACTTGTCTCGAACTCACAGCAATCCTCCTGCCTCAGCCTCCTGAGTGCTGGGATTACAGGCGTGCGCCACC